GTACGTATGTAAATGAATATTTGTTGTGGTTTATACACACTTGGTGTATGAGGTGTAGGTGTGTAAATGAATATTTGTTGTGGTTTATACACACTTGGTGTATGATGTGTATTTATGTAAATGAATATTTGTTGTGGTTTTATTGCACACTTGGTGTATGAGGTGAAAGGACTTCTCTCATTTCATTATGATTTATTATAGCATCATGATCCCCATTATCCAGATGGGGCTTATAAATTGAGTTCACTGTTTGTACTAATAAAGAGGATGCTTATGTATGTGTGATTATCGGGTATCAATCATTACATTTATTAGTAACAATGGTGTTGTGGTTATCAGGTGTGAATCGTTACCATCGTTAGTACAGTAGTGTTGTGGTTGTCTGCAGTATTGGAAATAATTATGAAACTGATGAGGGAAAGGACATAAATGACAAATGCTACATAAGTGCCACCCCTTTATCATGGGACAATGAATTGTACCAGAGTACAGGCAAGGTCATCCCAATGATGGGAAAAGTTTAAGTTAATCTATCAATTTAAATTATTTCATGGACTTTAAAAAGGTTAATTGTGTTACACTCTTGGTTTCACTCATAGCCAAAGCTCTGATCTACTTGTACCACTCACTATGAAAAGTAATTGTTGAGTATTTCAGTCATGCTAAGAGCCCGCTCAACAATAACATACGATAAATCTACATTTTTATTCTTTAAGCTACATTTTGAAATGTGAATGATAGTGCGATTAATTCCTAACAATTTAGTGTAGAATATCCTGCTTGTCAAATAAAATTTGGCATCAACATTATTCATGCCTGTTCTCTCGTCGTTTCAAAAGTGAACGTTGAGTTTTGTCTGCATGTGCAGCTTTTCAAACTGGAAACAGACAAATGCTCAGACACCATGGTTCACAATATATAATATTATTAATTTGATAAGCATTACTGGAATATTAATCAATTAACTAACTTTTGTACGATATATAGAAGGTCTTTTAAAATATTGGCTCTTATGGAGGGGGCCTCCATATTTTAAGTTTGCCTCAGGACCCCTGCCAATCCTGGATGACCCTGAATAAAGTTCACTTCAATATTTTAAGTTTGTCCTGGTTCCCCTGCCAAATCTGGATGGCCCTGAGTAAAGGGGGCTTCCACATTTTTAAGCTTGCCATGGTTCCTCTGCCAAATCTGGATGGCCCTGAATAAAGTGGGCCACCATATTTTAAGTTTACCCCAAGACCCTTGGTAACTCTGGATGGTCCTGAGTAAAGGTACACATTGATTGTTTACACTGTTATTGACTGTCATACAATAAAGCAGAAAATTCCATACCAGTATAAGGCCTATAAAATTACAGGAAATCATGCCATGCCCAGTAGTAGTAGTGTGAATCCTGTAATGTTTTCCAGGATTGAAATACTGCATGACAAGTATGAAGAAATTATAGTTTTGGCTGGTGAAGAATACTCCATAGAAAAAATTGTGGCAGGACTTTCTGCTTCAGTATAATATGTGTGCAAAACTGAAAAGAATATATAAAATTGGCAGTCTTAATAATAGAAGATCCAGACAGAAGACTAAAACTCTACAAAGTGGTGTTAAGTATCTTGTGGTATGTTCATTGTCTTAATAATAGAAGATCCAGACAGAAGACTAAACCTCTACAAAGTGGTGTTAAGTATCTTGTGGTATATTCTTTGTCTTAATAATAGAAGATCCAGACAGAAGACTAAACCTCTACAAAGTGGTGTTAAGTATTGTGTGGTATGTTCATTATCTTAATAATAGAAGATCCAAACAAAAGGCTAAACCTCTACAAAGTGGTGTTAAGTATCGTGTGGTATGTTCATTATCTTAATAATAGAAGATCCAAACAAAAGGCTAAACCTCTACAAAGTGGTGTTAAGTATCGTGTGGTATGTTCTTTGTCTTAATAATAGAAGATCCAAACAGAAGGCTAAACCTCTACAAAGTGGTGTTAAGTATCTTGTGGTATGTTCTTTGTCTTAATAATAGAAGATCCAGACAGAAGACTAAACCTCTACAAAGTGGTGTTAAGTATCTTGTGGTATGTTCTTTGTCTTAATAATAGAAGATCCAGACAGAAGACTAAACCTCTACAAAGTGGTGTTAAGTATCTTGTGGTATATTCTTTGTCTTAATAATAGAAGATCCATCTTCTGTCCTAAACCTCTACAAAGTGGTGTTAAGTATCTTGTGGTATGTTCATTATCTTAATAATAGAAGATACAGACAGAAGACTAAACCTCTACAAAGTGGTGTTAAGTATCTTGTGGTATGTTCTTTATGAAATATAGATGTTGGATATGTACAAACCATTCTGGTATTTTGGTACACTGACATCCAATAGGTAGTTGAAAGTATTCACAGGTTCTGGAAATGTTATGCATAGATTTGAAAAAAACATTGGTAGCATAAGGAATACAAATAAAACGATATCTTTATTTGCAATGTTTTTGACTTTAACCAAAATAACCAAACTGAGTGGTTGCTAAGGATGGAGATAGTGTTTCCAAAAGTACCTGCACAGAACAAACACAAAGTACAGAATAATGTAATGCCACACATACAAGTCAAACCAAGGAACTTAGTTACTGGCTGCAGATTGTTTAGAAGTTTATCCTTTGCTACTTCCTTTGTACCTGGCCATCACACTCTCCTCACTTCTCTCCTGCTGTCTACTGATTATGGAGCATTCTAAAGATGCGAACCTGTTGCCATAACCCAACAGCTATTTCTCAAGTAAAGGATGACATTACACAGAGGTTTGGATGAATCGTGTGGAAAAGTTGCGTGTTAATATCATTATCAGGGTGGTTAGAGTAGTAGTGTATGTACTGTTATTTGATGTTGACCATTGGACAAATAGTTTTTATTGTGCATTTTAAACGTTCTTCCTTTTGACTCAAACATATCTTGGGCACTCCTTGTCATTCAATAAGGTGAAGCATGACACTCGTAGAGTGATGAATGTAGTACAGAAGCATGTAACCTCTGGTAGTTGTTTGATCAGTTAGAAAGGCACAACTCGTAATACAACTAGTGTTCCTGAGAGCTCTAAGAATCAAGATTTTCTAAATATTACCAACACTTGTATCAGGGGGACACGAGGGGTTGTCTTCTTCTATAACTAGCCTGTAGAGACGTATATTCCCACAAGGGTGTAGAACGATGATATAAACTCAATATTTCCTACGTGACTCGGAGAAAGAACAGACTCTGCAGAGAAAACTCCATCAGGGAGTTGTATATTCTCCTTTTCAGAGAATAGCTCTTGATATAGCGAAACCCTCAATAAACTGACCACGGTAATTTTTACATTCTGGTGATAATCAATTAGCTCACTTAGTAGTCTGAACCAAACCATATCCACTGGCCTATGCACTGTCATCTTAACAACCCCGTGCAGTATGATGGTTTGCTGAGTAGCTCGTCATAGCGACACATCATGGTTAACGGTTCGACTTTTTAAAGTCTGGCACTGAAAACGCGTAAAATTGAAATTGTGTTTAAATCTCCTAATAAAAAGACCACGATGGGACAGCAGCAAGTTTACAAACTTACAACGTTAAATCTGAGGTTCGGTGGACACAGCTAATAACCCAGTGTGGCATTGCTGTAAAATAAATAAACCAAATTCCGTGTGTTAGTATTGTTACGTATCCGTTTGTTAATTGATTTTCCGTAACTTCGTT